TTTTTTTTTTTTTTTTTTTTTTTTTTTTTTTTTTTTTTTTTTTTTTTTTTTTTTTTGGTTATCTCCTTTGGTAAGGATGAGAGCGGGAATTGTTCGACAATATTTCTCATCTTCTTTCCATTCCTTACGGAAAAAAAATTAATTCAGAATAACTGACCAGTTTTAGTTTCTATGTGGAAACAGAGATAAGTAATAAATAAGTCATGCATATCAGAGACTCAACGCAAGTATACCTCAAAATTGTTAAAATGAAGTCAGTGCAGCAGTCCCTTTCATGAACTTCATCCTACAAACGTAGAACTAAGATTAATATAAGGCCAAAAAGACATGTGTTCACAATGCAAAGATGGAGAAACGTCTAATATTGCAACATTAACTAATATAGAGACAATACTTTAGTTGATTTTTATTTATTTTTATCTTTTTGCAACGCTGAGGAATAAAAGAGTCTCTTTAGGATAGGAAATCGAAACAGGTTGAAAAGAGGCATGGAGAATAGTTAGATCTAATGTCTCCCTTTTAAGCTTTTACTACTGAACTTTTTAGAGTGTATTTTGTTCTATTTGCCACCAAAAATTGGGCCACGTTCATGTGATTTTTTAGAAGCACTTTCGTGTAAATTTTTGTATATATCTTTTGATGGCCCCTTGAAATGGACTGGGTCTGTTCTCAAATGGCTTAGGAATCTCATGAAAAAAAAAAAAAGTTTGTAAGAAAAGTTTTCAAGGTTGGTTTCGTTAGGGAAAAAAAACGAACCAAAGTTTTCAAGACAGCTGAAACAAAGAAGGTTTTTTTTTTTGGCAACTTTCTAAAGCGTACGAAAGCGAGAAATAGAATATATACCACAATAATATGAGTTAAGTTAGATAGAACTTTTTTCCTCCTCTTTTCTGAAGCTTCCAACCCTTCTGGAATCAGCACCCTTAAAAGACTACGAGTTGTGCAGAGTATGACTGACGAGTGCCTGCCACCATGACTATCCAGCCATGTCTTCCATTACAAAAGAAGGGGGGAAAACATCAGCTAATATAATGTTTATGAAAGCAAAATTAACTAGAGGTTATATACATCTCCATAAGAAATAATTTCCATTGTACAAATTCTCAAAATAAGCTATAAAATAAGAAACTTTCACGATTCCAATCCAGCTGAACTCCAAACGACAGGTACATACACGCATGCAGATCATACAAGCACCAAGAACAAAGTAATTAAATTGATAAAGTCCGATTCTATTTTCATCATAAACATCAGTTACTTCAATATAATGACCAAAACAGATCCCCTCATTGAAACTCCAAAGGATAATAAAGATCTATACAAGAAAGATAATTAGATATCATTTAGCATAAACTACCGGCAGAAGAATACCTTATATCCAATATCACTTCCAACATTTTCTCCTCTTTCATAGGAGATTCGCTCAGCAACTAAAACAAGGCAACAAATTAAAAAAAAATGGAAGTAAAATGACTAATAATAGTAAACTAAGTAAACATCATAATTTTAAAAAGAAAAGGATAGGCCGGAAAGGTAATAAATAGAACAAACCTGACATAGCCGATATTTGTCGAGGATGGGTACAGACTATCTTACATGCTTCTCCCTTACCCCACATGTAATCCAAAAGAAACTGAGGGACCTATGACATATTTTACCAAAATAATTATATAGAATGCAACGAGTTTTTTAAATTTATTTAACTTTCATATATATGTAAGTACATGTTAAGAAAATTAAAGGTAAAAAAAAAAATCTCTTAAGGAAGTAGTGTAAATCAGAACATGAAAAATCATCAAGCTGGTGGTCATTCCATGAAAGAAAAACGACCTTGTGATGATTGTCATAATTTTCCTCTCACTATCCACATTCAAAATGCAAAGCAAAATCAGCAGGGTATATATGTGCCAGCTGCTAATTTGTGGAGGACCAAGGAATACTATAGAACACATGGATACTCAGATATGGTGGTCTCCTAGCCAGTTGAATCTAAGAACCTTCATAAACGATTTGGATATGCAAACCCCTAGTTCGCAAATGCTAAAACCCCAAATCAAGTTGTGAATATTCTTATTCAAACAAATTCATTGCATCCAAAACAAAAGCATTAGGCAAGCAAGAAATGATGAATTCAGAGGGGAAATAAATAAGTAGAAAAATTAGGAATCATTAAAGAGAGAATGAATAACCTGTGTTGTCTTTCCACACCCAGTCTCACCAGTTATGATAACGACCTGCTTAAAGCCAATGATTAAACAGTTATTGGGATAGAAATTGATGCATCAATTAAGACGAGGGAGTCAGAGACCAATCAACACTAGCTCCGAAAAACTATGTAAAACATGCATAAAAATATTAGGTCTTTTAGGTGGTCGAAAGATGGTATGTAAATTTGAATACCAGGCAGAAGAAACGTAAGCAACCTGGTGAGATTTAACTGTTGAAGTAATGACATCTTGAAAGGATGCAATTGAAAGCTTAGATCTCTCTTCTGAGATCTACAAAACAAAATATACCAATAGTTCACTTTCAGTTACTTTGGTGATAAGATGATAAGCTTATAAACTTCAGGCGCATTTCCTATTCGATACGAACTAAGAGAAAGAGATATGAAGGTACAGCATAAAACCAGAAACTTCATCGCTTTTGTTCATGTACTCAAAGAAACCTTTTTAAGATTAGCGACACTCTTCACTCTATCAGTATACGATTCCCATTTCTTCGTTATCTCTTCCTTGCTCATAGACGGCCTAAACAAAATGTCATCTTTCTTTCGCCTTTGTTTATCCGCCTTTTTTTTGTGTTCCCCAGTCGTTGCCTCGCCCGATTCTCCATCAACAGGAGGATATGTACTAAATAAATCGTCGAAAACATTTTTGGACTTCTCAGAAAATTTCATGGTGTCCATTTGCGGTTTGGATTTATATACAGAAACACGTAGTTGGTCTCCATGCCTACAAAAAGTGTTGAGCAAATGAGAAACTGAAAGCAAAACATTCCAGGGGCAAAATAAATTCTAGAAGAACAGAAAAACCTTCATTCCAAGAATATGAAAGTTACCAATACATGACTAGATGCCGCTCAAACATGGGAAAATTTTCCTTTCAAAAACATGAAGGTACCTATATGACTATACATGACTAGATGCCTTCTTAACTCAGGGGAGACATTGCTAATTGAAACTTACCCAGAACTCTTTGATATCATATGCATTTCCTGGCAGATTCGATGAACAAGAGAATATCCACGCTTCAAATCATCAGCGTTAAAAGTGAAAACTGCATGAAACATCCAAATACTTGCTAATTAAACAACAGATAATGACAGACTCATTGAACAACATTTTTTATTTTCACTGTGATTTCAGTAGAAGGGTTTGAGAGCATTTTGGTAGTTTGTTTAATTCGAGTTGGTGCAGACAAAGCCAATGTACATTAATATGTCGAAGAAGCAATCACCGGGCAGCCAAATTCCACAAAACCCATTAAAACCCAGAAACTATTTCTCAATTTCATTGGAATGTGACAGAAAAACAACTGAAAAAATCCATTTTATTTCCAATTTACCTTCGTCGTTCGACGATGAAAACCGTCTGAGTGCCTTTTTTATTGCACTGCCGACATTTTCAACTGCCGTGAACTTCGGCTTTTGCCCTCCATTCTTCGGCTTCTTCTTCACCATTACTTTTCAACCTGTAGCTTCTTCCTTCCTCCAACTGGTTTCAGTAGAGCTTTTTTCCTTCCAGAAATCTATAAAAGAAGAAGAGACGGCAATGCTCTAAAGCCCTAACGTATTTGGCGCCTGATTTTGCTTCGGCCGTCATTAACGTAAAACTTCTTTCCTCTTCATCTCTCTGCATCTGTAATGGGCCATTGTTGAACTGATGCACTGTACCGGACTGCAGGCCCAAACGTTTCGGGACTCCCCACATCTCGGAAGTGAATAATAAAATGGTGTAAATGTTCATTTTCGTTCTTTTTAAATTTTAATGGGTTTGAAATTTTTGCTAGTTTTGCTATAAAAAAAATAATAATAAATAATAGTGTTGAAATTTTCTTAATTAAATTTTTGTTTCATTCGTATATTTAATTATTTTAATACGTTGCCGTAAAATATTGAATGGTCGACTTTACTAAAAATATTGTTGTTTCGACCACTCATCTAAGCTCGTATTCTTTTTAAGATTTTTTTTTTACCTAATAGTCGTTTGTAACAACTATCGATTACTTTAAGCTTATCCAAAATATGCTTAGGTAGTTTCTCGGTCTTCTCTCATCCAAATGTGACATCGATTCATTCATGTACTCCTCTACTTGTGTGAGATCCCACTTTCGTTGGAGAGGGGAACGAAGCATTTTTTATAGCGTGGAAACTTCTCCCTAGTAGATGTGTTTTAAAACTTTAAGGGGAAGCCCATAAGGCAAAATCTAAAGAGAATAATATTCGCTATCGATGGACTTGGGCTGTTACAATGGTATAGAGATAGACACTAGCCGGTGTGTCAGTGAGGACGCTGAGTCCCAAAGGGAGGTGGATTGTGAGATTTTACATCAATGAGAGAGAAGAATGGACAATGGACACTGAGTCCTAAAGGGAGCTGGATTGTGAGATCTCACATCAATTAGAGAGAATAATGGATGATGGACGCTGAGTCCTAAAGGGAGGTGGACTGTGAGATCTCACATCGATTAGAGAGAAGAATAGATGATGGACGTTGAGCTCCAAAGGGGGAAGGATTGTGAGATCCCACATCGATTGGAGAGGGGACCGAGTGATATTGAGGACGTTGGAGCTCAAAGGAGGTGGATTGTGAGGTCCCACATCGGTTGAAGAGGGAAATGACATTTTTTTTATAATGGTGTGGAAACCTCTGCCTAACATGGAAAAGTCTATAAGGAAAAGTTTAAAGAGGACAATACCGGCCACGGTAGACTGACACAAACACAGGCAATCCCTTTCATTCCCTTTCATTGGCTAAGGTAGTGTTCTCCAAAATATACAACAAACGCCTCTCTCTCGCTCTTACACACACTACTAATCAACATTGTTAAGCAACACTGAAAGAAGCGGCTGCACCCTCCACAAACTTCCTTGCTCCTTTAAACCACCTCTTGTCTCCCGCTTGTGCCTTGCAGATGTAAAGCTTTCCACCCTTCACAGTCGCTGTGATCAGCTGGTGCTTCCCACCCTCATCTCCATCTGCAGTTCTTGTCAACACTGACAAGAAGTAGTATGGTTGTCCTCCAACTTCCGACACCGAGCTCTCCAATACGTTCGCTGTTGCCACTGCGTCCGGGTCGAACCCACCCTGATCAATATCAAGACTTTAATCAGGAAAATCGGGTCGTTTCGGTCGAGAATAATCAAAATGAAACATGTAAGATGTTACTCGAACAACCCACAAAAGAATGGCTATTGAAGTCGAGCCTCAAATGAAAATTATAGGTCTTACTTGATAACGATTTCGTTTTCAGTTTTTATGGGACAGAACAGAATGGGTTGAGGATTGTGTCGGAAAACAGAACAGAACATGTTCCTGTTTATGTTTGTAATGGTTGTAATGAGAATGAATCATTTTTTCAACTCTATAATGGGAACTTACCTCGGAAGCAGTCTTTCCAAAGTAGGCTTGTTTCCCCAGCAAAAAGTCAACCTGCGAAGGCCAAATTGAAGCATGTCAATTGAATCTTCTTGTCTAGTTTCAACCAAATCTGACATGAAGTTAACATTAACATACTCAAACAGCTGAATAACGTTTTCAAACGTGATTTTCGAAGTGATATCGAACGTGATAAGGAGATTTCAACCATTTCAAAATCACTTTTTGAACATACGCTAACATGTAATCGGCTTGAAGCGTAACAACTCAAGCCACTGCTGGTAGATATTGTTTGCTTTGACCCATTACATATCACCATCAACCTCACGGTTCTAAAACGCGTCTACTTGGGAGAGGTTTCCACGCCCTTATAAGAGATGTTCGTTCTCCTCTCCAACCGACATGAGATCTCACAATCTACTCCCTTAGGAGCCCAACATCCTCGCTGGTACACCGCTCGATGTTTGGCTATAATACCATTTGTAATAGTCTAAGCCCACCACTAGTAGATATTGTCCACTTTGGCCCGTAGACGCGTATTAAAATCGTGAGGCTGACAACGAGACAATACATAACATGCCAGATCAGACAATATCTGTTAACGGTGGGCTTGGGCGGTTACAAATGATATCAAAGTCAGACACTAGTCAGAGTAGGGTTAGATCCTCTCCATAGCATACGTGTTTTAAAACTGTGAGACTGACGGTGATAAGTAACGGACCAAAGCGGAGAAGAGAGTCAGAGAGACAAGGGAGGGAGATTGATACCTGGGCAAGGAATTCTTCCGGGGAGCCATAATCTTTGATGGATTTCTTGTCGGTTGGGTTGATAATTACACTAAGATTGCTGTTGGAATCAAAGTTGTCTTCATATCTAAGAACTTGGCCTGGGAATTCCCTTTCTTTGCTTGGATTCCACTTGGAAGGAATAGAAAGCTTGAATCCATCTCCATTGTATGGCAAGTAATCTGTGTTGCTCTTTGGCTTTCCAAACACATTGGCTGCAATTTTAACATCAATCAAAAACCAGGCTTCCATTACAAACAGACTATACTATAAAGCAGCCTATGTAGATACTAAACAATCAAACGCTTACAAAACAGTGTTGCTACTAGCGTTTATTATTCCGGAATGGTACGAGGCCTTTCGGGAAGTCCAAAGCAAAGCCACGAGAGCTTATACTCAAAGTGGACAATATTATACTATTGTGAAGAGTCGTCATTTCTAACATAGTACAGAGTCGTGCCCTTAACTTAGCCATGTCAATAGAATCCTCAAATGTCGAACAAAGAAGTTGCGAGCCTCGAACATGTAATCAAAAGTGACTCACGTGTCGAACAAAGTAGAACAAAGGGTGTACTTTGTTCGAGGGTTCTAGAGAAAGGAGACGAGCCTCGATTAAGGGGAGGCTATTTGAGAGCTCCGAGGTCTCAGGAGAGACTCTATGATGTTCTTTGTTCCAAGTCATGAGAGCTTATGCTCAAAGTGGACAATATCATACCATTGTGAAGAGTCGTGATTTCTAACATGGTATCGAAGCCCTGCCCTTAACTTAACCATGTCAATAGAATCCTTAAATGTCGAACAAAGAAGTTGTGAGCCTGTCGAACAAAGGGTATATTTTGTTATAGGACTCCAAAGAAAGGAGTTGAGCCTCGATTAAAGGGAGGCGGTTTGAAGGCTTCATAGGCCTCAGGAGAGATTTTATGATGTACTTTGTTCAAAGTCATAAGAGCTTACGCTCATTATGCTCAAAGTGGATAATATCATACCAGTGTGGAGAGTCATGATTTCTAACATGGTATCAGAGCCCTGCCCTTAACTTAGCCATATCAATAGAATCCTCGAATGTCGAGCAAAGAAGTTGTGAGTCTTGAAGGGTGTACTTTGTTCGAGGACTCCAGAGAAAGGAGTCGAGCCTCAATTAAGAGGAGGGAGGCTGTTTGAGAGCTCTATAGGATTTAGGAAAGGCTCTATGGTATACTTTGTTCGAGAGGAGGATTGTTGGGAAGGAAGTCCTATATCGACTAATTTAGGGAATGATCATGGGAGAGTCGTGATTCCTAAAGTAAACTACTTACCCAATGGGATCTCAAGCTAAAATTCAGCTAAAACAGAGCAAACAAAACTGACAAATTACTGAAATGAATTACAGAAGATGTTTATTCAAATTCCCAAGTGGGTGAAGCCAATTACCAGCTTCTCCATAAGCAGCATCAGCCGGAGAAACCTTGGAGCCAAGAGCAGCGGCGCCAATGAGGACAGAGAGAGCCAATCGGCGAGAGACAACACCGCCGTCCTCCTCCAGAACGGGCTGCTGCTTCTGGGCACGGCAGACAAGCATCTGCGCAGGCTTGAGCGGAGCCACCTGGCGTGGGGAGGACGACGATCTTGCGGAGGCGGCGGTGAGGGCGTGGTGGTGGAGGAAACAGGAAGTGGAAGCCATTGTTGGAGGCTGTAAGTGAATGAGAAGGGGAATTTGGAAGTGGGTATAGAACAATGTGTGGAGTTCGTGAGATTTTTGTTGCTGTTTATGTGAGGTCTGGGTTTGTGTGGAGGAAAATGGTCGGCGTTTGGATTGCGGGGAAGAACAAGAAGAGGAAGGGATGAGATTATTGATTTTTGGATAAGGTTTTAGAGGTTATGATTGGTGCCAGCTGTACATTTCTGCTGCACAGTCAGCAATATTTGAGAATCTCCTCACACTCCACTCACCCATTTTTGGAAGTCTTTGTACACATGTCATGCTCTTATTGGTGGATCTTTTTTATTTGATATTTTAATCCATTTCTCGTTAATTTATTATTGATTTTTTTATATAAAAATATATACACATTCTATTTAAAATACATTGAATATATTTGTTGCATAAAAATTATTATTATTTGACTAATCTACAAAATTAACTACTTTTTTAGGTTCAAGCATTTTTTTTTATTTGATATGTGACCCTTGAGTAAAGAAATAAAACGTGAATGAACAGAGACCACGTCTGAACGAAAGTGATCACAGTAACACTAAATTTGTGATTTAAACAATTTAGACTGTGTTACATGGGAATATGGAGGCACACAGGTGCCGAGTTCGGACTTGAATCCTAATACGACTCAAGGAACATAAGGTGGACTAGCGTATTGACCCGTTAGCTAAAAGAAACTCTCCAATAAGTTACATGATATATGTTTGTACATATTTATAGAACGTGATATCATCAACCGGACGAGGTAATCCTATAAAATTCATTGTTGGCCATAAACGAGAGATGAACTCGATAGTAAAAGGAGGGTAGTGTTCTTCGGTGGCACAACAACAAAAGCACGGTGTTCTACACGGGTGGCAAAAGAAACGAAGGGAGAGAGAGAGAGAACATTATTAAGTGGCGGGTGT